CTGCCCCCCCCCCCCGGGGGGGCGGCTGTGGGTGCTCCCCCATCGAGGCAAACCCCCTGACATTTCCATCAAGGGCTGCGTGGACCCTTGCAGAGAAGGGAGCTGCCCCCAAAATCCCCCTGGCTCAACCCAAAAACCTTCCTCAGCACCTTCCTGGTCAAACAGCCCCCGCGGCCTCAGCATCCTTGGCCTCATCCTGCCCTGAAACTCCTGAACCCGCTGGAGAAGAACCCAATGATCCACAGGTGAGAAACCCAGGGGTGAACCCCACTGGATGAGGCAGCCCCAAAATTGGGGGTCCAAGGGAGGAGGGTCCCATCACCCCATTTACCAAATCCATCTGGTCCCGGGATGCAGCTCCAGGGGTTTTCACTTCCCATCGACTTTCCATGTTGTTGGGGAGGTCTGGGGGGGGGGTTCCCAGCCCCAGGGGAGGGGGTGGAGCAGCCCCCACCTTGGCTAAGGCACGATTTGGTTGAGTAAGAAAATCAATCATCATAAAAAAAAAAAGAAGAGGAACATCCCAATGGCAAGAGGTGCCTCGGGTGGGCACTACAGTACGTGTGGAGTGATGGGCAGGGGGCTGGGAAGGGGGACAAGGACATCACCCCCAAGCTGCCAGGAGCCCCCATGCCAGGAAAACATGGGGGGGGGGCCCCAAAAAAACCCCAACCAAATAAAAAAAGGGAAAGAAAGAAAAGGGATTTTTATTTATTTTTTTGGGGGGGTTCAGATCCAAAACAACCTGTGGCAAAAAAAAAGAAACAACTGGGGTGATCAACAACAGCACCAAGGGCTGCAGCTCTGGGGGGGCTGGTTTGGCTGCTCCCAGGTGGATCTAAAAGGCTTTGGCAAAAAAAGGATGTCACCGAAAGAGCCACCAAACTGCAATCTCTTCCTGCAGAGCTGGTTGGTAAACATCATTCCTTGAAGTCTTTGGCTGAAGTTTTAAAAAAATTTCGAAGCTGAAAAGCTTTTTTTTTTTCTGGCTTTTTTTTTTTTTGTT